AAACTATGTTATACATTAGAAAGGGTTTTTGAAATAGAAGACAAGGAGGGAAATCCTCAGTAATAGGTTGAAACTGAAATTACCGATTATTTCAACCAAACCCAGGATATGGGATGGAGAGACTGATAGAGTTAAGAGAAAAGAGGGGATGAGGATGAAGAAATAAAAAGTGCTATAGGTCTGCGATGAGTTGAGGGGTAGTCATATAACTATATATTTTTGGTATGTTGATAGTGAAGTATGGACTTGAATTGTACTCGAACTGAAGTATAACTTGAACTGTGAAAGTAACTATTAGTAAACTTGAGATGGATAGAAAAATCTCCAAATACCAGGGAATGGAAACATGAATTTGTAAAAGAAAAAAAAACTGGAATGGGAATGGGATTTAGGGAAGTGAAGGGAGAACTTTCATTTTTTCCCCACTTTGTTCTTTAATTTTTAAATTCTTTTTAACAATTAGGATGCAGTGATTAATTGCCTTTATAGTTGAAGACAAGGAAGTCAGAAACACTGAAAAGTCAACAATGTTCAAAGATACAAGGGGATGCATCTGCAATGTCTTTGGAGAAACTGCTTTCTTCAATTCTTTACCCCACATACTTCCCCTCCCCCCCCATCCCCCAAACTATGATTAACAACCATTACTGGAGAAAAGGGCTAGAGAATGGTATGTGGCTAACTCCTGAGGCCCCAAAGTAAAAGCTGAAAAACATATGCCATAAATAAAGATGGCTCTCTGTGTACTTACAAGTTCTCATTTGTTGAGAAGAGGGATGTTCTGACATGCCCTAGGGGGGATGTTCTCATGTTTAGAAAATTGAACTCTGTGATGGGCTTTTCAGGAGACAGCAGGTTGGAAGCCACCAGAGCAGTGACATGGTGAGAAGACCTCTGGCTTAGATCTTCTTAACCTAGAAGTTAAGGCACCCATATTTTAGTTGTGTCTCTGCCACTTTTGTGAGCTACGTGCCTTTCTGCAAGTTATCTAACCTCTCTGAGGCGGATTTTTCATCCCAGAAACACTGTGTTGCTGCACTTAGTCAACATTCTCCAAATGTTTGTTTTATGAATAACAAATAAAGGAATGAGTGACAGACATGACTTGCCTAAGGTCACCCTTAGTGGGAGCTGTGTCTGAGGGCCACAGCTTGGTAACCAGGAGGATAGAACTTCAAGTTGGTCCCAGTGCCACAGCCCATCTCCAGCAGGGGGACCTTGCCCGAGGGGCCCTGGAACTCCGGCAGGTGGCTGCAGAGCTTCCGCTTCTGGCCTGCCATCTGTTTGCTGTACGTCACGCTGAACCTCACCAAGAAGTAGGGGAGCCATTTTTTTCTTATCCAGTTTCACAAGCCCAGAAAGTTCAGCAGAAACACGGGAAATGCCAGGATGCAGACGGCCAGAAAGAGAAGCTGAGTGAGGATGGCCAGTGTGCAGGAAAGAGAGCTCAGAACCACGGGGATGGGGGACAGGAGCGGGGTGGGGGTGGAGATACCACCATGGGTAATGTAGGACCCTGTAGACCCCCCCCACCCAGGAGTACAGTCATCAAAGGAGGGACAAACTGAGGGAGGCAATATCGCGACTTCCAGTCTCCTTGGGCTTTTCCCAGCAAGGAGAGGATAGGAATCACCATGAGCGTGGCAGACGGTCCAGTGGTCAGTTGCCACAATAATTACTTCAACAACAGAAACAACTCCCATTTACTGAGTCTTTAAGTACATTTTATAAGATTATCTTCTTTAATACTTAAAAAAACCCACGAGATAGACACTATTAATTTCCCATTTTACAGAAGAAGAAACTGAGTCACACAGAGGTTAGCTACAAGGTTGTGTAGCTGGGAAGCAGCCGTCTGGGTCAAACCAGAGTTCATGCCTTCCACCCTGGTGCTGCATGGTTTCCCGGAGACTGCCAATCTCTGTTAGGGAGAGTTACTGCCATGCATGTGGATTGAGACCAGACAATGGACAGGGTGTAGAGCATTAGCTCAGAACAGCCCCACAAAATGTTTTTATCACCCTGGAAGCAGAAACAGCATTCTCCTAGAGTCTGTAGAACCTTCTCTGAACTAACCTCTTCCACCCACCTTTGAGTATCCTTGTCTATCCTTAGCTCCTTCCTGCCGTAGACATAGAGGCATTTCTCCTCTGCACCAAGGCTAGCCTTACCTGGACTCTTACCCCCATCCCCCACTTCCCCATCCTTGCTCTATTAATTAGTCCCCCTCCCCCCCATTTAACATGGCTCCTTATGGTCCATCTCCTTTTCCTCTGCCAAGCCTCATGCTCTTATCTCTTTTTCCTACAATAATCCTTTCCTTTACCTCGCTTTTCATTCAAGCTAACTTCCCATCTCACTTGCCCTTACTGCCAAACTTCATGAGAAGTTGTAGTTGGCACTCCCTGTTTCCATGTCCTCACCCCATTCAAACCTCAACCTGCTGACATCTGGCTTCTGTCCCCACAGCTCCAATGAAAGTGCATGTGGACAAATGAGAAGGCATCCAGAGGGAGGGGAGCATGAGGAGGTGACAGTACTAGGAAGTGGTAACCAATGAACAGAATGGAGTGCTACATCTAAGGAGGTGAGAGAGGGTGGTGTCCAGGGCACAAGTGGAGAGGCAGCCTGTCCTCAGAGCCTGGAGGGAGGGGGGAAAGGGTGGGTGGGGAGGTAAGTTTGGGTAGGAGAAGGAAGGTAAGGGAGTTTTACCAGATGGCTTTGATTTTCTTAGTGAAGAAGAATGCTCTGATACTTTGATGAGAGTGAGGGTGCAGGGTGTAGGGTGGGGGTTAAGAAGAGAGTAGAGAAGCTTTGCAGCACCAACTAGCAGGACTGGGAGAGGTGGCTGAGCAAAGGCAGAGAGAAGTGCCCGGTAGCAAAGAGGATGCAGCTGAACTTGGGAGCTCTGAGTTGGTTTTCTTCACTGAAGCTCTGCAGTTTGGAGCTCGAGCAAAGTTCAGTGTTCAATGTGTCTGAAGGAGGGTGGTGAGCGGGGAGAAAAATGGAATAGTTGAGTTCAGGATGGGGCTGCTGGCATGGCTGAAGAACACATCTGCTGAGAGTGAGAGGGTTGCCAACGGTCCTGTAGTGCGGGATCAGAGTTTAAGACTTCAGAGATGGAGCAGTTTAGGGTCTAGAGCATGGCCACAGCAATGACAAGAGAAGAAGGATGGAAGTGAAAGTCACTGGAATTGAGGACTAGAGAACGATTAGGCTAAAATGCTGGGTGGGTCATCAATATGGAGCATGAAGGTGCCAGGGTGGACAGAAGCACCAAGAACCAGGTGCCAGAGTCCCCGTGAGCATGAGGGAGTGGCCAGAAGGTCAGGAGATGACTGTGGGGCCAGCAGGGACCAGCTACAGAGGAAGGGGCAGACATGGCACAGCTGGATGGCATGAACCTTGTAGGGCTTTAAACATTACAGTGATTTCTGCAATCAATATATAAAGGTAAAAAACCTCAATCGGTATATAAGGGATTTTATTCTTTTCAATAAATAACATTCCTCTGAATGTATGTAGCTCAATTCTTGAAATCACTTCCCATCCACTGGCATATATGTTTTTTCATATATAGGTTGAGCATTTTTTTTTCTTATTTGTTATTTAAGTTTTTTCCTTTCTTTTCCTTTACTATAAGTAATCTGGAGGCCCAGACTGCCAAGGTTCAAATCCTGGTTTTTCTACATACTAACCATGTGATCTCGGGCCATTTACTTAAATTTGTTGTGCCTCACTTTCCTCTCTTAAAATGGGAATAACACACACTAAGCTTTAGGGTTATTTTGAGAACTAAACAGGTAAATAGATGCAAAGTGCTTAAAACAGTGTCAGAGACATGTAAAGTAAGCACTATGTAATCAATAGTTCACATTTTTCATGTCTGTTGCTTACTTTTCTGTTGCAATTGTCTTTTTCTTACAGATTCAAAAGGAGAAGTACCCTGTTGGCCATCATATATTTTGCTTCCTGTCTTGCATCTGCTAACCTAAAAATTAAAAGCCTTTCAAAGTGAGAGGCAACAAGCATTTATTTGAGGTCAATAAGAATAGCTATTTGGGACACACTGATTCAGGCAGGAGCCCAGAAGTGTTCCGGTTAGGAGACAAAGACAATGGGTATTTATGAGAAAGAGAAGGGGGACAATTACATCAGTAGAAAGAAAGCATTACTATTGTTGCAGATAACAACATAGTGATGCTAATTGTAAGGAATGTTTTCAATTTTCAGTCTGGTGGGCATCGGTCAGGTAGTCATAATATTTGCTTTCTTGTTATCTTTGCAAACACTTCTTTGGGGCCTAAGGTTGTTTAGTCCTCAGTCCAGAGGTTGTTATTTTTCCCTGTTTTAACATTCCAAAGATTTGAGGCATAAGACGTGCAAGGCAGTTCCTCTGGCATGGCAGCTCTAGCTCCATTTTAAAGTAGCTCCATTTATTATATTTTGACATATCATTTGACTTTTTTTTTTTTTTAAGCATTACATCTCATGCTGAAATGTTAAATGGCTTGTTGAATGAGCTCAAAAAAGTCAGTGAAGGCTTTGGTTAGAAATAAATGACAAAGATTTACTCAAGTGTCTTAGGTTTGTAAATCGGAAACACAACTAGAGTGTCCTGAACGAGAAAGAAAAGTTTGCGAGTTTTCATAGTAAGCACACATTTGGAAAAAAAAAATCAGTCCTTCATTGTTAGCCTGTGTTTGGCTCAGGATCATAATCTTCCAGATATCTGGTGGTCTGGATAATGAAACATTCGTTCTTTAGCATGACAAGTGGTTATCTATAAGAGATATATACATCTCTAGCTTATGAACATTCTTTTTTAAGTCCTTCCGAGGTTTATCTATGGAATTTACGCACTGGCGTACAACTGAAAGCACAAAAGCTTAAGTTCCCTGGCTAGTTAAAGCAAGCATAAATCATGTTTTCACGCCTCAGCCTACTTGATTTTAATAATTTAGCAGCTTGACCATAGTGACGCCATTTTATTTCTTCACCTTTTCCCTCAGGCTTTTGTTATGATTACAAGCATTTGAATTGCAAGACAATAAAAACAAATCATGCCTTTTTTTTCCCTTTAGGAATCTAGATTGTATTTTAGGGGATGAACAATGAGTAATAGTTCTGAAAGTGCAGGAGGGAGCCAAAAATAATGTCTCTCCCTCCACTCCGGAGAGCAGTAGCCAGTTCCACCTGCGAGGGCTGAGGGGCCGCAGTGTCTGGGCAGATTTAGTGAAGGTCAGCAGGGCTGAGGACCTGGGGCTGCTTGTTTGTTCATAGCCGGGTCCAGAGGGTGCAGAGAAAACCAGGTGGGGAGTGGGAGGACAAGTGAGTGTGTGCTCGGCAGGTGTGTGTGTGTGTGTGTGTGACAAAACACTATGAAGACGGGGTAGGCAAAGGCTTTGTGGGATTAATTAGTCTCTAGATTCTGCCCAGTATCTCCTAAGATGGTCTCTGTGAGGCCAGCAGAGGCATGGGATGGGGTGGGAGCCCGAGTTTAGAAGAACCCCTGGAGTGTGCACTCTTGAGGGGCAGGAATTTAATCCTCGGACTTTCCATGTTGACAGCTTCTGTGAAGCCCTCCAGAGGGTATTTGTGTGTGCAGCCTGGCACTGAGTGGGCTCATGGTGCTGGCCTGTGAACAGAGAGACAGGAGGAGACTGGCAAGGGCTGGAGCTGCCAGGAATGCTTTAGGGAGGGGACGAAGAGGCCCAGGGGTGGGTACTGGGCAGGCCTTGGAATGGGGAAATATCGCTCAAGGGCAGGCTGGGGCCTGGACCTGAAAAGCCCACAAACCTTTTCTCCGTTGCAATGTCCTCCCAGCTCCTCCTACCCTAGGAACGTGGGGATTCCATCTCTGGTGAACAAACCATGTGGCTCAGGGACCTTCAAACAGAAAAACGGCAGGGGTGCGGGGATAAGGAGGAGCGTTTCAGTGCAGATGTAAGCACACGCACAGACATCGATACAAAAGTGTGCAACTGCGTATCCACAGACACACTCTCCCCCTGAACATAGACTCCCACTTGCATACCAACATTCACAGACATGCACACAGCGTACGTCTAGGGTGTGCATGCAGAAAAGCCTCACAGAAGTGTGCAGACATCCATAAAGTGTCCCAAATACACACAGGTGTCCCCTTCTACAGGGACAAATGAAATAAGTGGACAGGAATGTGATTTAGAAGTGGGGGGAAGCTCGGGACCAGGAGAACCACTCCTACCAGCCTCTGGGCTTCGCCCGCATACTGGAGCGTGGAGAAGAGGGGTGAGAAGTGGGGTCATGCCCCACTCGGCCTGGCCATTTCTCTAGAGAAATGAGGTGTAGGGTCATGTGGCCAGGGAATCCAGCTAGGCCGGGCCCACCCTGGGGATAGATAGCTCAAGAACTAATCTGGTCTCTTAAGGAGGAGCTGCAGTTGGGGGGAGGGAGGCTGTCCAGGAATGCCTTTCTGGCTTTCAGTAGTCTGGGAGGGGGCCTGAGGGCTGACTCCTGGACGAGAACTTTTTTGTCCACCTCTTCAGTCAATCTTTTACAGCTTAATCGCTCTGTTCTGGCCTCAGGAATCTGGATATTTTTCATCCATCCCCCAAACGCGCTCCAGGAAGCCTTCCCTAACTGAGCCTGGTTCAGGTGGGCTAGGGCGGCTGTCTACCATAGCTCTGCGTTCGCCTGTATCGGGGCGCTGGGATACTACGGCCCTACTTCCCACTCGTGACTGTTCCGGTTTGGACCGAAAGCCGGTCCTCGGCGGGGTGGGAGGTGCAGAGGGCGGAAGCGCTGCCCGGGGAGGGGCCCGAGAGGGGTGCAGAGAAAGGTGGAGGATGGCCAGCCCCGCCCCTACCTGTGTAAGCCGATCGGCCAGCGCCTAGCGGATAAAAGCGGCCGGGTCCCCCTGAGGTCAGCGAGTTCGGCTCCCTCTCGCCTGCTGCTAGGTCCAACGCAGTGAAGCCAGTATGTCCACCCGCTTCAGCAAACAGGTCTTCAGCTCGCGCTCAGCCGCCTTCCCAGGGCGCGGCGCCCAGGTGCGCTTGAGCTCTGTGCGCTCTAGTGGCTCCGGAGGCAGCAGCCTGTATGGCCTGGGCGCCTCGCGGCCGCGCGTGGCCATACACTCCGCCTACGGGGGCCCAGTGGGCGCCGGCATCCAACAGGTCACCATCAATCAGAGCTTGCTGGCCCCGCTGCAGGTGGACGTAGATCCCTCCATCCAGCAGGTGCGCCAGGAGGAGCACGAGCAGATCAAGACCCTCAACAACAAGTTCGCCTCCTTCATCGACAAGGTGAGCCGGCCACAACCTGCCCTGAGCCACGCCAAGCTCCAGGCAGCAGTAGCCACCCAGCCCTGACTGCACGAGGGCTAGGCGCTGGGACGACTGGTGTGCTCTCTCTTTTCTCCAATATCAGGGGCTCCAGAGGCCAGGGCCAAGAGTTCCTTTCTTTCCGGGCTCCTTTCTCTGCGAGGGGACTGTGTGGAGTCAAAGACGGAGTAGGGGTGACACGCCCTTCCCAGCTGGAGTAGGGGTGACACGCCCTTCCCAGCTGAGGAGTCCCCCACGTTGTCTACCCTGAGGCCGAAGTTGGAAATAAAGGCCTGGAGGGAGGGAGGGAGAGAGGGAGGCTCCCAGCCACACCTGCCTCACCCTACCTGGTCCTCCAGCCTCCCTTTGGTGTAGGAGGTGTCTGAGGTTATACTTGCCTTTGGAGACAGCCCATTTTGGGGCAGGGAGGGGGCCCTGAGGGGTCTTGGGGGAGGGCCATTTGGGAGGTGTTTTCCCTGCCTATTTGGGTCCCAAAGGGGTGGGGGTTGAGGGAGTGAGAGTGGGGGTTGGGAGGAAGGGGGACAAACTTGATTGGTGGGTCTAGGAATGGATCAAAGTGAGGCTAGACCCAGGGACTGAAGGCTAGCCCAGCTGGGCCCTCCTGGTCAGAGCCTCCTCCCTCCGGTGTAAACCAAGCCTTCCCTCTCCTGCCTTTGTGTAACCTCTCCACTTCCCTGGCCCTCCATGTCCTCCTCTCCTTCACCATTCAGACTGTACATGTCCTCCAGGTTCTGCTGAAGCATCCCAGGCTCAGGTTCCTCCTCTGCTGTTGAGCTGCTCTGTCACATTGTTTGCAGCCCTCCCCTCACTTCCTACCACCCTGAGTTTCTGGTTCTGAGGAGGCTTGCTTCCCATCCCTAGTCATACTGGGTGCTCCTTAGGGGCCTTTTGGGCCCCAGGGCTGAGCACATAATAGATGCTCATTTTACATTGATTGGATTGTAACAACCTGTCCTGAGAACTTGTTGGAGGAAAGGGGAAAGGGAGAGAGGATACTGAGGGATGAAGAGACAGGTTCCAGCCTGAAGGGCGGGGGCCGAATCAGGCCCAGGACGGAGACAGGAAGGGGAAGCCCTTCAAAGAGGGAGGTGGAGAAGATCACCTGTAATGCAATGGTGAGCACAGGAGGGAGGAGCCCTTAAAGCATAAGCGCTGGGACACTTTGGTGAACCAGGTACACCTGAGCCTTGGGTCATACTCTAAGTCACTCGAGACAGAGAATCTTGGAGAAGAGGCTTGTTCAGGGCAGTTTTCCTGCAGGAGAGGGCCAAGAGCTGGGGACTCAGGTTGGGGGAACAGCCAGTGGGAGCATGGGCTCTGCTGGGTGGCTGGAGACCCTCTCAACTCACTGTGGGTGGCACGGTCTGCCCCTCATGCATTTCCTCCTCCATTTCCCTACAAGGTACGGTTTCTGGAGCAGCAGAATAAGCTGCTGGAGACCAAGTGGGCTCTGCTGCAGGAGCAGAAGTCGGCCAAGAGCAGCTGCCTCCCAGGCATCTTTGAGACCCATATTGCTGGCCTGCGCAAGCAGCTGGAGGCCCTGCAGATGGATAGGGGTCGCCTGGAGGTGGAGCTGCGGAGCACACAGGACGTTGTGGAAGACTTCAAGAATAAGTACTGCCCCCCAGTGCCACCTGCGGGGATCCGTGCCAATGTGCCCCCAATCAGCTGGCCCTGTGCAAGTCCCTTCTGGGTTAGGGGTCAGAGGGTGCAGCTGTTCAGCACAGTTACCCCTGACAGGAGGGTTTTGACTAACACATTTTCTACCTCTCCTTGCCCCTCTTTGTCCCTGGGGGCTGTTTCCAAGTCATTCTGGTCTTTTCTCCTGAATTACTCCCAGTGAAATATCTCTGCCCATCCCTGGACCTGCCTTTTTCCTTTTGGGTGTCTGACCAAGACCCCAAGAGAGGGTAGGGCAGAAGTGTCCTATGACAGAGGTGCTTCAGAACTTGTACGACCCTCACAGATTATTGTAGAACCACTTTATTTTATTCAGGCGAGGAATTAGAGATCAGAGAGGTTCAGGGACTTGATCCAGATCACATAACAGATCACTGGGAGAACTGGGACTTGAATTTTGGGCCCCTGACTCCCAGGAGGAGACATAGAGCCAACTTGGGCTGGAAAGAAGCAAGGAGAGAGAATGATCCTTGTGAGCTGGGGGAGGGGCTGCAGAGGGTGAGGGGCCGGTCTGCTTAGGGCTGGAACCAGAAAGGAGGCTCTGGGAGGGGCAAGGAATGCAAGGGCTGCACAGGCTGGGGTCTGAAGGACAGGCCTTTCAGGGGCCCACTGAGTTCTCTTTTCTCATTGAATAGAAAGCAAAGCTTGAGGCTTGGCCAGGCCCCACCCTGGTGTTCCTGCACAGAGGGCATTGGGGCTAACGAGGGAGTTCTGTGCTCTGCCCGGAAGGTGCATGACTAAGCCGGAGCAGGGACACTGGCTCTGACTGCAGGTAGAACAAACAAAGGCCTCTGTGGAGAGTGCCCACCTCTACTTCCCTAGGGCAAAGTCAACAGGAGAAATCTCACAGCAGGTGGAACCAGACAGATGCAGGGCAGGGAATGCCTGGGGCTACCAGCAGGCCCTGGCTGTCATGTACACACGCATATGTGAGTACATATACTCTCCCTAAAGCACACAGAGCACTTTCCTGTGGAGCCAGGCTGAGCTCCGGGCTGGGGCTGAAGGAGGATCTGAAGGGGAATGGGAAGGGCCCTGGGTGCAGCTGCCCAGTGAGCTCCCATCTGTGCAACCCTCTGGGCCCAGCAGCACAGCGTCGCAGTACGGGTGGACAGCCAGCCTCAAGGATGTTTCCATAACTCTTTGATAGGACCTGAGGGAATGGGGCTATTGGAGTCTGGGCTACTGGAGGCGCTCTGCCTGCTCGAGTATCCAGCTCCCCAGAGCAGTTGCCCCACGTTGTTCCTATTGCTCCCCAGCTGCTCTTGGGCACTGCCAAATTCCTGTTTCTGACACCTTTTTATTTAATTCCCCAAATAAATAACTGGGTTATGCCCACATGCTGTCTTGCTCTGTGTCCTGCTTTGCTGATGTCCTCCTATGGGTGGGGCTGGCACCTTGGGAGAAAGAGGGATAGGGACTAGACAACCTAGTTGGGACCTGGTTCTTCCAGGAATTTATGTACCCTTTCCTGATTCCACAAGGTTCCTCCCTTCCCGGCCCCTTCTTCCCGGCTCAGGGGGTGGGATTGAGTAGTAGTTATGGCATGGGCCTGGAGTCGGACTGCCAGGGTTCAAGTCTGGGTTTTGCCACTTAGCAGCTTAGTGACTGGACAAATCACTTTTCCTCTCTGTGCCTCCATTCTCTGCCCTACTAACCATCATACCATTGTTATAAGATTGTGAGGATTAAATGAGCTAATGCATAGGAAGCACATAACAATGCAGACCCCATATGAAGTGATCCATCAGCATGGCTTTTATTATTTGCTTTCTCAGTCCCAGTATATGCAGCCTTTGTCCTTTACTTCACATAATTTCCCTGATTCCCCCCGCCCCCCCCCCCACACCCCATGCCAAGAATCAAAGCCTTAGGATAGACATATGGAAAAGTCAGGGACATTGGGTTTCATAGCTGATGCCTGGTTTTTCATAGCATGTCATTAGGGGGGGGATGAGAGTGATGCAGGGTAGATTTTCATACCTGGATCTGAGGGGATAGAAGCTAAGCTGCACCAACACCATGTCCTCTTCCTCCACTGCAGGTTTGAAGAGGAAATTAACCGGCGCACGGCTGCTGAGAATGAATTTGTGGTGCTGAAAAAGGTGAGGGGGGCAGATAGGAGGGATGGGGTGTGTGATGTCTGAATACATGGGACAGGGGACCACATGGCCCTCTCACCTGAGCAATCAATAAGGACTGGCCAAGGTTTGACTACAAGAAGGGAGTGACGGGCTTGGAGGAGGGACCTAGGAGCCAGGCCTTTACAGCACAGCTTGTCTTGTGTGCATGTGTGTGCGTACATGCATGTGTGTGTGTGTGTGTGTGTGTGTGTGTGTGTGTGTGTGTGTGTATCTGGTGAGTCACTAGACTTGTTTCTGGGCCTGGAGGGTTTAGAATTAATACCAAAGAATAAAGGTTAGAAAGGGAGATTTCAACTCCAAATAAGGAAGTGCTCTATCAGTTAGAACATTTCGTTACAGACAAGGGTGGCACACGGCAGGCCTGAAATATTTGCTGAATGAATGGAATGGGCTGCCTGGAGGCAGAATGAGTTTCCCATCCCCGGAGATGTGCAAGCCGAGGTTGGAAGGCCTTAGAAATATCTTAGAGGGGCTTGAATTAAGATTCTGAAGTAACACACACAGAGCAGCTGAGTAGTCCAGGCTCATCCACATAAATGCAGCCTGCCCCAGTGTGTGGGGCCTTTGGAGATTCAGGGAGAGGTAAAAATGGGCCCTACCCCTAGGAGTTTAACCACAGGAAAGTGTGGCCAGAAGGGACCCAGACATCATCTGAACCTGTGGTGTTATCTGTGGCCTACCAGCATTGGAATCACCCACGCTGCAAGTTAAACATTTAAGCTTGAGATAGTCCCATCTCTGGGAGTGGTGTCCGGGAGTCTGAATGATTCTATGCTCTCTTATTTGACTGATGAGAAGTTGAGGCTCACAGAGTCAAAGTGATTTGTTCCAGGTCACAGAGGTAGTACTTGGCAGAGCCAGCGGTGTGTCAAACCACCAAGGCCTTTAGGAACTGGTAAAGTGCTAGGTTTGGGGCTCTTGTGTTACCAGTGCTGGGAAGGCACCGCTGGTTCTGGGCCTACATGGAGATGATGTCCATCACACAGCTTGGGAGGGTCTAGTGGAGGAACTTCCTGCGGTGGGCATATCAGGCAGCCTGGAGAAACTGTTTCTTGGTAGGGCAGTGGTATTTAGCTCTGTGGGTTGGACAGTGCTGGCTTATTCCCATCCTGCTAAATGTTTCGTGTACTGAGGACATGGTGCTCCTCTACCCCTTCTTACCAACCTCCCCAGGATGTGGACACCGCCTACATGAGCAAGGTGGAGTTGGAGGCCAAGGCGAATGCCCTGAATGATGAGATCAACTTCTTCAGGACCTTCTATGAGATGGTGAGGACCTCAGGGGTTGGAGACATGTCACATCCTATGTATTCTAACCAGGGGTCCATCTGGTCCACCGCCTGCCTCTGGACCAGTCTGGGTGTGTGTTGAGTGTGTAGGGGTGCCTTTATCCTGCTCTTTATCCTTTCTGGACTCAGAAATCCATGATGGGCAGGGAATTTAGGAGGAGCTGACAGCGGCAGATCAGGGTAGGATCAGTCAGGATTGGCCTTCCAGAGACATGGAATGACCATTTGTCTGGAAGTGGGATTAGGAGAGGCTGAAAGGAGCCAGGAGGATGTCACAGGATCCCAGGCTGTGACAGAGTTCAAAGGTGGGCTGGGTGGGGCAGGCAGGGGAGCCCGAGTCAGGAGAGACTGCAGTACCTGAGAGTTTCCACCCAGAGGGACTGGGTGGGAGGCCTCCCACAAACCAGCCACTCTGTCTTTCCGCCCCTTCCATCTCCTTCTCTCCTTCTCACCCTTGCCCTGCCCTGGGCTTCTTGCTCTTTCTCTCACGTGACTTAAAATCATCTCCACTCCCTTCAGTGTGAGGCTCTGGCCTTAGGCAGAAGATGGGGTGGCTAGTTATCTGGTATGGCTGGTCTGGGACATAATTACACATGAGGCTAAGTACAATTCTCAGTTCTCAGTTCAGGCTAGTCTTTGCCTGAACACCCAGCCTCCACTAGCCTCTCAGAACAAATTTCCACATGTGCTAATTTCAGGGGCTGGATCCTTGAGGCTTGCTTTGGGCACTTCTAATCTCAGTGCAGGTCTTCATATGTCTACCACACACACACACACACACACACACACACACACACACATATATATATATATATATATATGCACGTGCGTGTGTGTATATGTATATATGTGGTTATATAAATGTATATGTGATTCTTTTCTTATTATGAAAGAAATACATACTCATTGCAAAAAATCCCAGAAAATTAAGTAAAGCATAAAATTGAAAACAGGGTACCTATACCTGCTCTTATCATCTTGGCATCTACCTTTTCAGACTTATTCTGTGCATATATACACAGAGAGATATAGAAACATATTTTTTAATAAACATAGAACCGCACTTTTTCCATGGAACAGTATATATGGATATATTTCCCTGTCCATAAATATAGCCATATCACCAGTTTTAAAGGCTGTGGAGTGTTCGGTTATAGGGCAGACTATGACGTATTTTACCCACCCTCTAGCGATCCCCTTTGCAGTAGAGCTTATGCTCCAGCCGCACCTCATAGCAGGAGTTATCACAGCTCACCATACCCTGTCACTCCTTTATTCATTGTACTCCCACCAGACTCTTACTTGAGAAGTTGCTAATGGGCTTTCCAGGGAGCCAGGGTGGGCAGAACTGCTTAGCAGGTGCTGGTCTGTGCCCCTTCACTGCCTGGTGACTCACTCCCACTCCAGCCTCTCCCCTTTTTCTTTTCCTAGTGTGTGGAGAATCCCAGGTTAGGCGTGGGCATGGGGGTGGGTCATACCTCAAGTCCTGATGTTCTGTCTGGTCCCTATAGGAGTTGTCAGAGCTGCAGGCCCAGATCTCTGACACGTCCGTGGTCCTCTCCATGGACAACAGCCGCACCCTGGACCTGGATGGCATCATCGCGGAGGTCAAGGCCCAATATGAGGAGATAGCCAACCGCAGCCGGGTCGAGGCTGAGGCCTGGTACCAGACCAAGGTATGCAGCCACTGGGGGCACATTTCCTCCTTCTGCAGAGTCTTTGGTGGCACTCCTCATCCTGTTTTAAGACTTTAAGGCCTGGGTTCCACTGTTCTGGCAGGCACCAGTGGTTAAGTCTGTGTTGTTCTTCAGTGTCCTGGGAAGAAGAGGATGCGATGGCAAGGGCCCTGCTCTGATGGGGGAGCAGGGCAGAGGACGTGGACATGGATTAATAATTATAATAGCTAAATTTTGGCAAATATTCATAGTGCTAGGCAGTGTTTCAGTTGTTTTCCTGTATTGACTCATTCAACCCACAGAGCAGCCCTATTAGGTAGGCACTATTATTATCCCCATTTTACGGATGAGGAAACTGAGTCATGGAGAGGTTAAGTAATTCGCCTAACTACACAGCTAGTAGATGGAAGAGCAGGGACTAGATCTTGGGTCCTAGGGCTCCAGACCAGGCATTGTGTTGAGGCAGGACACCTGACTGCAGGTGCTGAGGGAACGGGTGGGGGTCCTGGGGGAGGGAACTTAAGGCAGGGTTTAAAGCAGCATAGAGGGCTGTCTCTGCAGAGATAGAGTCATCCATGGTGCACGGGTAACACATATATGCCAAGAAGGGGACCTGGACACACACTTTGCTGTACGATCCTCGGGCAGTGCCTTCATTCCCTGGGACTCACTCTCCTCGTCTGTGAAATGAGTGGTACTGAGGAGCAGGGTGCTTAACATGTGAGGGTCTCAGACTTCCAGTGCTTCTCCAGCACTGGGACATCATGAGAGTGGGAAGAGCCCCAGGATCAATGGGGATGGGCCTCAGGAGCCATTCTTGTCCTCCCTGACCTGTCTGGGAGGGAACCGAGCCTCCTGCCATGGGGCAAGGGTTGCTGGGAGTCAGACTGTCCCTCTCTAGGAAGATAAGCTGGGAGGTCTTGTCACTCAGAACTCTGGGCCTTCCCTGGGTGGGGAGAGGGAGGCGTCACCTGTAATCATTGCCCACCCCCTGCCATTCTTCTCTGTATGGCCCCTCCAGTTTGAGACCCTCCAGGCCCAGGCTGGGAAGCACGAAAATGACCTCCGGAATACCAAGAATGAGATTGCGGAGATGACCCGGGCCATTCAGAGACTGCAGGCTGAGATTGACAACATCAAGAATCAGGTAGGCACAAGCCTTCCTCCTTGCTCCTTCCTGTTTCTGGGGGCATGTGCAGGGCAGCCAGCTGAGAATGAGGAGCAGGAGGCTGGGGGCAGGGTTGTCAGCCCTGCCCCTGTTCCCCTGCCCCCAACTCCAGGGGCAGAGGCTAGTGCAGTTCAAGTCTCTCAGGCCCCCCACTTGTGAGATCTCCAGGACGGAATGTTCTTGGCCAGGTCCTGGCTCAGGCTGAAGGAAGGAGAGGAGGCCTAGCTGGGCATACAGCCTGTGGAAGGCGCCTCAGGCTGGCCAGCCAGAGAAGAACCACCATTCATTACCAAATTGGTACTCAGCGCCTAGCTCTGGGTGCAATGTGCCGTATACCTGGGAGCTCACAGTTATGGTGAGCGTTGGTGTGTGTGCAGGGGGGAACAGCAGCTAGCAGAAACCCTTACTATGGATGATAAGGTCCCGTCCCGGCCCTGACCTCACTTCCCACTACTCCCTCACTCACAGTGCTCCGGCCATACTAGCCTGCTTCCTGTACCTTGTGTTTGCCAAACATCTTCATGCTTCAAGGCCTTTGCACTCGGTGTTCCTTCTATCTGGAATGTGGTTCTCCCAGCTTTGTACATGGCACATGGCTGTCCCTTTCCTATCCCTGGAGTATAGGATAAAAGACCTCAGAGACGCCTTCCTCAGCCACCCAGCTACTCTATCAGCAGTCTGCCTGAAGTTCCCTGAAGTACCTGTCACTATCTAAAATGTTCTGTCTTATTAAGTATTGATTGTCCCCTGCTCCACAGGAATATAAAAAACATGCCTTAAGAGCAGAGACCCCATCTGTCTGGTTGACTGACCCTCCCTTCCCAGCACCTGGCGCATGGTTGGGGCACAGGTCTCAAATGAGAGACTGATGGGAGGATGTGCTGTGAAGCTGGCATGGGTGGCATTGATGAGGGAAGGGTCCCTCCAAGCGCTGGCAGAGGCATGGGGGTGGGTGGGGCAGCTAAGCCTGAGCAAATGTCTGCAGTGGGGAGGGAGGTAAGGTGACTTGTGTGGCAGTTTCAGAAAGCTAACTTCCAGATAAGTTGGGGGGATAGGATGTGAGAGTGATTTGTCCAGAAATGTCTTCCCCTCAGAGAACTGTAGTCTTGTTGACATGAGGGCAGAAACTACCTCCTGGCAAAGATACAGGGCCATGAATCACCCATGAAGCAAGCCAGCTTCTAGGCTGGAGGGGAGGCACAGAATAATGAATGGCGGTTGCCCAAGCCCTGCAGTTTCCACCACATCCGGGTAGCCTCTCACACAACAGGGCAGAGCCAGGCTCCAGAGCTGGGGTGTCTGCCACCATTGAGGGGCCCAGATGCAGTTGGATAGGCCTGGCCATGGGGGCACCAGTGTGACAAGGAAGGGCACTGGCAGGTGGACAAGGGGCAAAGAGTATCAGAGGGCCTCCTGGGGAAGATTAGGGGGGGCTGGGAAGAGAGGCAGAGTGCATGAGCTGAGGGGAGGGGATCCAAGGGCAGGGGATGGTCGGTGAGAGGAAGGCGGAGGAGCACTGGGCTAGGGGATGGGGATGGGGGCCCTCTGAGCTGACAAGACGAGACCTGGGACCAGATAGACTCCTGGGGTTGCGAGTGGAGCCACAGGCAGAGGAAGTGCTGAGGCCAGGCAGGAAGTGGCAGCTGTTGCTCAGGTCCATCATGAATCTGACCACCACTCCCCAACCTGGGGGCAGTTGATCATGCATTTTGTGTCTGGGGGTTCCAAGCAGTGACTCTCTGCTCCAAGTCCCGCTGTTTTGGGTCTGTTCCAAACTGGGTCCTGTTTTGAAGGTGATTTTTTGTTTTTACCAGCTGCCTGAAAATTTGGGGACTCAACTAGGCTTCCATGGCTTTGGGAGCTGGGGAGCTGGGCATTTGTAAATTGTAATAGCATTTATTAATAATAGTAATCATAATAGCATTATTAAGCATTTACTGTATGGTAGACACTGTGTCAAGGATTTGTGTATTACCTCATTTGATTCTCAGAATATCCTTATAAGGTAGACACTGATTATTGTTATTTTAGAAAAGAGGAGACCTTGGCTTAGAAGGATTGATTCATCCAAGGCCACAGAGCTAGGAAGTGGCAGAGACAGAACTGGAACCTAAGCATTGGGTATCAGAACCCGTGTTTTTAACCCTTGGGATCCTCTGGTGCTTGGGGAAGTAGGCTGGTGCCAATGAAGCCCCATAAACAAGCGGCCCAGGTGTTTGCTGCAGGTTGGGGAGGCAGGAAGGCAGAGGCTGGTGAGGCCTGCCCCCACCTCACAGCTCCTCCATTGCCCACAGCGTGCCAAACTGGAGGCCGCCATCACGGAGGCTGAGGAGCATGGGGAGCTGGCACTCAACGATGCACGCGCCAAGCAGGGGGAGCTGGAGGCTGCCCTGCAGCGAGCCAAGCAGGACATGGCCCGGCAGCTCCGTGAGTACCAGGAGCTCATGAACATCAAGCTGGCCCTGGACATCGAGATTGCCACCTACAGGAAGCTGCTGGAGGGCGAGGAGAGCAGGTGAGGTCACGGAAGCCAGGAAAGGGATCCTTCTGGGGCCTGGGGTGTGGCATTCATCCATCAACAAGCATTTCCTATGTACCCTGTTCTGCAGAGCACTGAAGGTGGGGGGTGCAGGGAGGGCACAGCTGATGCTTACTTCTTTGCCCTTGATGAGATGACCTTCTAGACCATGTGGTGTAAAGCACAGTGCGAGAGTTGAAGTAATAGCAGCCCCTTCATGTGTGTGGCCATTAACAGGGTCATCTTATTTGATCCATAGAACACATTCAAGTGAGAAGGTCAGGTATTGTTGATACAGATGAGAAACTGTGGTTCAATTTTATTAATTGTGGGGACAGGGCCAGTGTGCAGTCAGTCTGCTGATTCCTTGTTCAAGCATCTTCCTTAACGCCAGGTTGCTTCTCACTATATAAAGTGCTAAGTCATGTGGTATTGACTGAATGTGATGGAGGAGGCTAATTTCCCTCTGTCCCCAGAGATATTTGCATACTTACCTACAGCCTTAGAGGAGGCTGGGATGGGTTAGTCTTTTAGGGAGTTCTTATGCAAAACATGGATTCTCTGTCCATGAAGTTGAGCCTTCATTCTCACCTTGATGGGTGGGTTGATTCATTCAGTCAACAGACAGGCTTTAGAGTTGTGCCTTGGGGTAAGGTTAAGATTTGGAGAGGCTGAGAGGGCAAAGGCCTGGAAGTAGAACTCATCATAGCTTAGCTTGTTGGAACCCAACACAGAAAGATAATATGTAAGACATGTTTCTGCTCTCAGGGAGCTTGCAGAAGGGGTTGAGGAGACAAAACATCTGCAAGGAAAGTACTTGGAGACTAGTAACTAGGATTTATAAAATGCAGAGTTCACCCAGGACTTTTTCTTTTCTGAGCATTATTCCAGAGGGCTGGCAAGAGAAGATGGGGGATGAATGGAGTGGAGAGGAAGGAGTTGGGGAATAAGGGAGCACTGGGGGCAGAGTGCCTGAATGCTGAAATCAGTCTGGAAAGAGGTAGGAAGGAAGAGGAAGGTTTACACCTAGTTTTTGTGGGAAGAGTAATTAAATACCAAAGGCCTCTGGGAAGAGAGAGCAGTTGATCTGGGACACAGCGCAGCCCCTGGGCCCAACTGTCCCAGCCATGATGTCTCTCTCTGTGCCCTCCTCCATCGTGGGTACAGGGGCCCCACTTTCTCGGGAACGCACACCCTGGGCCTCTTTTCCTCATAGAATCACAGCTGGAGGACGGAGTGGGGCCTGATCCACTTTCTCCTGTGGGCTGATGGGGCTAACGCTCATGGACTGAGAGTGGCGTGCCCAAGGTCATACAGCAAGCAGAGACATTCCCCTGAATGCCTATTATAAGCCCAGGCTGCTGTCACTGGGGCTTAGATCCTGGTTCTCTTGAGAGGAGACTGTCCTCTCTCCACCGCTTAGGGGATATGGAGATGGAAACCTTGTTTTTTATCTCTTAACCCCTCAGCCCTTCCCAGGGGCAGGCCTAGAATTTAAGGTCTTAGAAACTCATGCAATTTGGGGGACCTTTTTTTTTTTTTTAAGAATACAAGGTTACAAATATAAAGTTAGGCACAAAAAATATTTATTTAGGGTGAGGAAAGAAAAATCACACAAACCACTAGAGCCTGAGACATTCAGGTCCCTTTCCTTTGACTTCTTTAGGCCTTGTGCCAAAAATTCTTATATGGAATTGCTGCCTGATTGCAGCTTGGCTCTGACTGCACCCCTCCTGCCTCTCCCCCCCACCCCCAACACACATACACTATGCCAGCAACTCCCAAACTAGCAGGGGCCATTTGAACAAAGGGCCTGGATGCTGAGGCCAGGTGGTCTCCCCTCATTCGCTCCACAAACACAAGGTGTACCCTCCCCCATGCAGAGTAAACTCATCCTCAAGGCCAACTGCTTGGTGACAATGGGGCTGTGCGACAAAGCAAACACACCCAGCTGTCTTGGATGGATTGTTAATTTCCAGTGCAAGACGTGTTTCAGCCCCACAGGCTGCTTAAAGCCATTCCCTCCTCAGTCCCAGCTGGAGCTGCATTCACTCAGTCAACAGTACACTAATTATTTCAACACATATTAATTACTGTATGCCAGACCTCATGCTGGGGGCTGGAGATATAAGAATCAGTAAGCTACAGCCCACTTTGAGGATTTTATGATCTGGTTAGGGGACATAATAATGAGGGGATATTTACTGAATTCTGTGTGCCCAGGGCTTTAGGTAAATTATGTCATTTAACTCTCCCAAAAAACCCTGTGAGGTTGGTACTAGATTAAGCCCTATTTGTAAGTGAGGAAATGGAGGCTCTGAGACATTCCCAAAGTCATGTAGCCAGTAGGCAAGAGGGCTTACGTGAACTCTGCCCCCCACTCCTCCTTGCTCATTTTACAAGGTTGAAGGAAGGCTGGAAGTGTGGGGATAGAGGAAGGAGCCCTAGTCCTGCTTGTGGCCGGCGCTAAGGAAAGAGTTGGTATCACAGGTCTCTCCTCTGCCCGCAGGTTGGACGGAAATGGAGTGGGATCCCTGAACATCTGTAAGTCTTTGGCTCTGGCCCACCCCCTGTTCTGTCCAGACTGGGTGGGGTCTATAGAATGGGACATTAGTCTGAGGGCCTGGCCTTGTGGGGACTGTCAACCTCTTTCCCTTCAATAGCTTCCAGCAGGAGCCCTGGAGCTCCCATCCAGCCAGGCTCAACATCCCAGGGAAGCCTTGCAAGAGGGCAGGGTGGGGCAAGGGGCACATGTGGAGGGGTCCCCTCCCCCACTGCTCAAGGCTCCTTCTGGGCTGGCCCATTGTGGGTGATGGGAAACAGATGTGGTAGTGGGGGGACAGGACAGGTATGGCGAGAAGGTGGGGTGGAGTGAAGGCATCCCCACCTTGGTGGTGGGCCTCATGCTAATGGAATCCTCTTCTCTTCACGCCCAGCTGTGGTGAATACCATTGGTGGCGGTGGCAGCGGGCTGGCCTTCGGAGGAACCATGGGCAGCAATGCCCTGAGATTCCTGAGCGACGGAGGGCCTGGGACCCTCAAGGCCTATTCCACCAGGACCACATCTGCCACTCGCAGGAGTATCCTCAACTGAGCCCCAAGATATGGGGAGACCCATACCTCCTCCTTTCACAGTCATAGGAGAACTCCCGTCCTGGTCCCATCCCTGGTCCCCAGACTACAAAGCAGTCTGAGAGTGATGTCAGAATAGCTTCCAATAAAATAGCCTGTTTCTGAGGCCTGAGTGAGTCCATGCCTGGCCCCCCAGTACCCTGGCTTCATTTGGCTGGGTGGAGAAGGGGGTGGGGAAGGAGGGGCCCTAGAGAAGACAGAGTCTGCCCTGATAACTAGAAGCCTCTTGTGCAGGAGACTGGGAACGCACATTGCCGACATGGGGCTGCTCCAAGGAGCTTGGCTCTTATCCAGTGTGAGGCCTTGGCACCCTCCCTGGGCTGGGGTCAATTCTAACTCCTCTCCTGAGGAAGTCCAAAGATATCCCAGGGAAACTCCGGCTCTGCCCGGAAGTGGGCACTGGAGTCCTCGCCTGCTGAGAGAGGTGGAGGGCTGTTTGCACCCTCCCTCCCCCACCGTGTGCTGCCAGAGTACCTTCCTTAGGCCCTGGTTTCCTGGTAGACCAGCCAACTCTCAACTCTCAGACCAGCTGCCTTCAACCCTTCCTGGTGCTGTGTCTGCCTGGCCCTGGGGCCCTGGACAGTGTGTGTGTTTGAGGTCCTGGAGGGGGCTTTCTGCGTCTGGGATTCGGTGGGAGTGGTGATGGTGGGAAGAGGTCTGAGTGTGTTTGGGAAGGTGAGGGTTCACCCATAACCTGGGTCCCTGGTAGTGGCTCTGTTCCTGGGTCCGTGGGCTGAGGTGGGATGGGCTGTGTATCTGGACCCCCTAGGGGGACATCTCTGTTAAGTCTGTGCTTGATGGGGCATCTGTGTGTTAGGTCTCTGACGTGGGGTCTGTGCGACTGTGAGTATGTGGGGTGTGTTTGTGGCCTATACTTGGGAATATCCAGGATGGCCAGCAGCAGATGATGGGTACTGGGGAGGAGATGGGGGAGTCTCTGTGTCTGGGACCCCTCCAGGGGTGATGATGGTGAGGGGGTGGGGCGGCTATCTAGGGAGTGTTGGTTTCTGGAGGGCGGGGTCTATATATTTGATCCTATGGTCAGGAATTTTCACATGTTAAGGTGGGGGTGGAGTGGAGGAAGTGGACCACTGGTGTCCCAGCAGCCCAAGTGATGAGATCCTTACCCAAGGTGTAAGGAGAGCTAGGCCCTCCCTCTCCTTGCTAAGGCTTCCCGTTATCCTTCTCACTTCCCTTCCAGCTCTATCTGTGCTTCTGTGTGTCTGGGTTTTGGGGGAGACAGCGCCCAGTCCTAACCACTAGACCACCAGAGGAATGACACGTGTGTCTGGGTTTTGGGGCTGCTGGCCCATGCCCCTGCAGCCTTCAAGATGTAGGAGAGTGGTGCCAGGGGCAGGGTGCCTCACAGACGGCCCTCTCTGCCTTTTGGGCTGAGAACAGCTACTTTGTTGCCTCCAATGGGGGTGAAAACTGGCCTGGAAGTCCATATGTGTAAGCACAAACGCGCTTAGGGAGTGTCTTGAGCCGTTATATATGACTGGTGAGCTTTATTGGAAACGGGGAGACCAAGCACCACGGAAAGGGAGAGGAGAGACCCCAGGCAGCTGCAGAAAATGGTCCCATGGGAGACAACCTGTCATTGTGCACAGATTTAGAGGGCAGGGGAGGCACAGCACCAGCCAGCACTTCCACACTTGAGGGGCCCTAGGGCCAACCCCTCCCTTAGAAGCCACAGGAGTCCAAGCCCCCAGAGCAGCCAAGTCAGGATTGGATCTTTGGCCAGGGTTGCCAGGAAACCAATCATTTGGACTCAGGAGTGGGGGAGAGCTGCCAAGGCATGCGGGCGGGCCACCTCCTTGGAAAGAAATGAAGAGACAAGCGTGGGGGGTGGGGTGATGCGAGAAAATAAGGCAGCAGTGTGGGCAGGTCAGACCGGCTGGTTCCCAAAGCCCTTCCGTCTCAAGCCCAGTCACTTTTGGAGCTCCAAGCCGGCCGCTGGAGCCCGTTAGCTCCTGGAGCGCTGTACGTACAAAGCAGGAGGGCCTATGCAAACCGCACCAGGCGGCCGCTGCCACAACTCTGTCCGCAGGGCGCACACATTCCGGTGCTCACCGCCAGGTTCCCGCTGCAGGGGGCGCTGCAAGCGCTGCCGGCTACAGGCCGGGAGCCTGACACGCAGAGGTCCCCACAGACAACCCCGCCCCGGGAGCTGCTGACACCTGCGGGAGGAAAACAGGGTTAAGTCCCTGTGCCAGGTAGTGGCTGGCGGTTGCTGCCTGCTGGCCAGAGCCCCCTTCCCTTGCTCAGGGCTCCTCTTTCCATTTCTATTACCCCTTACCCCTCCCAAACACCCTCACACATAGGCACTCCTTCCTGCAGTCTAACTTCAAGCATGCTTGATAAACTGTTAGCCCAGGCCCTCCCTATAGGCTGAAATAGCTATTTAAGTTATCATAATCATTCACTGCCACATTCCCCTCCTTCCTTCCAGTCTTCAAATTGCAGTTGTGTACTTGTAAATAAAGTTTTATTGGAACCCAGCCAGACCTATTTGTTAAGTATTGCTTATGGTTGTGGCTGCTTTCACATGACAACAACAGAGCTGAGTAGCTGAGACAGAGACTGCATGGCCCATAGGCTTAAAAGATTTACTGTGTGGCCCTTTAAGAAAAAAGTTTGCCCACCGGGATCCCCAAGCCCTTATTTCAGAACCTACAGTATAGATTACTTACAGACATTAACAGCAGCAATGCCCTCACACAACCTTGTGGGGAGAGCAAAAAGAGACAAAAATTAGTTGGGAACAAAGCTTATATATTATTTCCTCCAAGTAATCCTGATGTAAATTAGATGCAAATAATATGCAAACGTGCCCCTAGCTCTAAGCACAGTTTCTGGATATTGAAGAGACATCCTCCCCACAGGTGTGGTCCTCACCTCTGCTCCTCGCCCTCCAGCAGGCGCCTGTAGGTGGCGATCTCAATGTCCAGGCCCAGCTTGGAGTTCATCACCTCCTGGTACTCCTTCAGCAGGCAGGCCATGTCCTGCTTGGCCTTCTGCAGGGCGGCCTCCAGCTCGGCCAGCTTGCAGCGGGCATCGCTGACGGCCGTCTCGCCCTGCTGCTCAGCCTGAGTCACTGCGGTCTCCAGCTTAGTGTTCTGGGGGGCAGGGGAGGATTGTTAGGGCACCTGTTCTGGATTTGGGGTCAGAGGCCAGGCATCCAATAACCACTGACTGTCAGAGGAAGAAGGGGCCTTATCCAGTTGTGAGGTCAGGGGTTGCAAATTAGTGCTCCCAGGAATGTTGGCACAGTGTCTTTAATTTTTGAAATTTAACAAAAATCTAGATTCCTCCTTCTCTTGAAAAAAATCTAAGGACCTGGCCCCACTGGACCTGTATTTCCATAGGGCCTGCCTCAGTTGGATCTGATTAGCTGTTTCCTTTGTGCTTTCTAGTTTACCACACCCTAGTGCCTTCAGCACAGCCTACTTCACCATTTACTAACCTCTGTGATATCTGAGTGTGTGATCACTGATCTAGAACAATTGGCCAGAGTTGAAATGGCTTGCCCTAAATCACGTGGTAAGCTAGCGCCATGGCTAGTTTGAGAACCTCTGTTTCCTGCTCCTCAGATGGGTGTCATTTCCTCTGACCCTTTCTGACCCCAAGACAAGAAAAATTCCAGTACTTCTATTCCCCTCCATATTGCTCCCCATCTCCTGCCCCCATTCAGTGGAATGGAGAATGTTTTCTATGGAGGAACTCACCTAATGTTTGATGTTTGCTCCTTTCCCCACAATTTGGCAAGGTGTCAACCTTGAATCTCCCTGCCTCAGGCTTACCCCCCTTCTCTTTCTACATTGGGGGGTGGCCCAGGCTCCTGTACCTGGCACTTGGCATTCTCGACCTCGGCCGTCAGCCTCTGGATCATACGGTTCAGCTCATTGATCTCTTCTTTGGTGCGGCGCAGGGTCTCCCCGTGACGGATCACCGTGGCCTTCATCTCCTCACACTGGAGGGAAGCAGAGATACTCATGGGGCACAGGATAAGTCATTCCACTGAGTCCCACAGCTTACACATCTGCTACCGCGTCCTGAGAGCTGCCTGCCCTTCCCTTGCCCATCCACCTATACAAAGGATAAAGCCCTTTATCATCCCTCCTGCTGGAGTGCTGGGAACAGGGCGCTGGGCACTCACCTTGCTGCGGTACCAGGACTCGGCCTCGGCCCGGCTGCGGCTGGCAACATCATCGTACTGAGCCTTGATCTCAGCAATGATGCAGTCCATGTTCAGGTCCCGGCTGTTGTCCATCTTGACGACGACTGAGGTGTCTGAGATGTGGGCATGGAGGACACGGATCTCCTGTGGGGGGCAGGGAAGTGGTCAGAGCTTCTCCAACCAAAATCACTGCTCTGAGCAGGCCACACTCTCGTGGTCCTTCCCTGTCCCCTTCCCCTGCTTCCTCCACAGCTTCACTGTCTGAAACCCCAACCTCCAAGATGAAGTCTCCCCCTCAACCTTGGGACCTCTCAATGGTCCTCAGACTCAGACTCAGACGTATGTCTGAGGCTCACTGCCTGATTTCAGTCAGGGCCTCCTGTCTGGATCCTTGTGGTCTAGGACCAGAATTTACCAACTTGTGGAAAATGTCACCACAGTAACCAGGAACCCAGCTTGTCTGAGGCATGGCAGATGAGACGTCGAGCTACACTTCTTCACCTCCTGATAGTAAACCTGCGTCGGGTCTCTCAACTCCCCCCCACCCAGGGGTTCAGAAGCCAAATGGTGGCAAGTGCTTTCCAGTGTCTAACTAACATCTTCCTTGTTGCCCCCACCGTTCTGTGGCCCCTCACCTCCTCATACAGTCGCCGCAGGAAGTCAATCTCCTGGGTCAGGGCCTCCGCATTGGCCTCCAGGTCTGACTTGCGGAGGTAGGCGCAGTCCACGTCCTAAAGGGCAGAGGGTGGCACAGGAGTCTCGCTGAGGAGACAACACAGAATTCTTCCCACCAGTGATGGGCACCTCAACCAGGGTGGGCAAACTCCCTGGAGACCCTCCTCAGCTGCCGACCCCAGTGCCTGGTATCATGGCATTGGTGAAGTCCTTTATGCAGTTAGAGGTGAGGTCAGGAACAGGTTTGGGT